TACCACTTGAAATTTTGCATTGCAAGGTTTGGACGTGAATAATCATGAGATGACCTGTCAACGTGTGATTATTCATTGTGTGAAATGTATAGAAGCACACTTTTTTACTTTATTTTATAGACAGTAGCCAACGAAAAAACCATTTGAAATTATAAACAAATTATAACTGAGAAACAAAACATAAAGCACACGTAAAAAGAGTAGCAAACGAACTAAAGAAAGCGGTGTGGACTAAGAGATTTAATTGCAAAAAATCTTCAAACTGTTAAAATTTGATCAATTTTCAGTCATGAAATAAACCACTGAAATGAAAATTTCAGTCTGAAAAGAGCGAAAAAATTTTAATGTTCTAATGGAAGTGATACTTTCACAACTTTTTCTAACTCAAATTTTAAAAAATGATAGTGGAAACTAACACATCGTAATCTTTTGTCGACCGCTTTTTAAAAAGCAATCCAAAATGAGAACTAACTAGGCTTACTATTTGCATGGCGGAAACTCAAACACTGATGAAAAACAATTAACGTGACCACCAGACTTTCCCATCCGACTAAATGATTAGCAACAATAACAGGAAGTCATCTCTAAGAATAAACGCAATGAGCTAAGCTCAGCCCTGAAACTTCTTTAAGTGGATCGGATACATTTAGTCAAGTTTTCCCACATTCGAAAAAAAAAATTGTTGTTACCTGAAGTGCTTTAATGCTATAAGCTGATGGAGTGGTTCTGAAAATGCCTGGATTTTTTCGCAAAATATATCAAAAATTCCCGACCAAATTACGAATTCTTAATATTTCATTAAACTTGGAAGCCAAAAAAGGCAGCAATTCAAAACATACCGCGAAAAATTTACATGACCGTTTGCTGTTCCAAAAAAGGTACGACAGTTGAACTGAAAAGAAAAAGTGTAAAATAGAAATAGGTACCGGAAGCTATAAGATTGTTGGAACAAAAGAACACATTCAAAGCAGGCTTCATTAATTAATTAAAAATTGAAATTTTAAAATTACAAATGGAAAGATGAGTGGGAAGGAGTGATTAAACCATCGATCTGAAATATACGTTGAAAGAGTAGAATTATAATGAAACATTACATGAACATTAACGGTAAAAGTAATGAAATGATTGGAGAATGGAATAATTCAAAAAATCGATTCCACCTAATTAATTTTGTTAAAAAGAAAGGAATATTTAATTGAATGAATGACTTACCTATTCAACACATTAACTTCACTGAATCCTTTGCAAATGACCGAGGAACATGACAAAATGGTGGTTATTTGGCTTATTAGGAGAAAGGATTGGTTATGGTAGCTTACCTTCTATGTCAATTGGATATTGCAATTATGGCGGTTATTGTCAGATGCACGACTATAAATGTAAGATTGACATGAATAATATTGGATGAGGGGGAATAACACTAAATTTGCATAATAAGAAATAATGGTAGCTGAGAGGTGTTCTATGTGTAATCTTACTTGAATGGAAAGAGGATAAATGTATTTTCCTTTATCGAAAGGAGAAAGATGGTTACTGTAACGGAGATAGAATGCACGTCGCGGGATGGAGAAAGAGAAAGGGGGAGAAGGTAGATCGGTCACATACTATGTGAGAGGGCGATTATTGTCTTCATGAGAGGAGATGTGGTTGCTACTATTCCATAATGATTGGATTTTGTGGTCAGGGCAGTCATTATGAAAAAGCATGACTTTTTAGGGCGACTTTCAGGACAAAATTTTAATTTTTTCCTTCTTCGAATATTGGGGCCTAAAGTTTTCCATTGTTTCAATGTATATTTATTTGATATTTAACACGTTTGGTGCAATGGTCATCGAGAATTATTAAACGTTCTTATAGGCCAAATGTTGAGAAGTCAGTTCTGCACTTATTCTTGGCTCTTTATTTGATGAATTTGGCTCTTTATTTGTATTGTCATGAGAGGTTGTAATAACTGTCAG